GTTAAATATTTCTTTGTTAAGCATTTAACATTTAAATGGTTAAGCCTTTAAGTTATTTCTAACTTAAAATGCTTTTACTGTATCAACTAGCATTATGATTAATATCCTTGCATATAAACTCTTGTCCACGTTGAATCATGTAGGTGAAAGTAGGAGAATTTTTAATACTCTTGAGTCATGCAGTCAAAAGTTCTTGTATAAAGTTATTGGAGTCTTAAGAATGCTCAAGAAAGTGATATTTTTTTTATGGCCCCTTTTATTCCTTACTGGTCTGCCTAAAGAAATCTCTGAGGAAGAGACTATTATGTAGCCATAGAAATATAGATCCCACCCCCAACCCAGTAGTATAAACTTTGGAAAATGGGTAACATAGCTACTGGAGTATTTTTTGATTGCTTGGCACGTTCTTTCTACCCTTGAATTCATCTTCATAAAAGTTGGCCAAAGTGATAAGCTGGCCCTCACCAATTCATTTCTTCAGAGGATGCCTTTAAATGTATTTCAGATCTCATAGGATGGTTGAATATACAGAAGGCCGCTGTGAAGACCAGGCCTGGGGGCAGGCGGCTGTTCCCCCTCCACACCACAATTTAACTCCCTTGATGTCATTTGCAGATGTGAATCCTAAGTACCAGTGTGATCTGGTGTCTAAAAATGGCAACGACGTCTATCGCTACCCCAGCCCACTTCACGCCGTGGCCGTGCAGAGCCCGATGTTCCTTCTCTGCCTCACGGGCGGCCCTCTGCGGGAAGAAGAGAGCCTGGGCCACCATGCCAGTGACGTGTGCGTCGGCCCTGAGCTGGACTCCATCAAAGCAGATGGCTCCTCACCGCCTCCAAGCAGCTTGTGGTCGGCTGCCCAGCCGGCGTCCAGCAAGAAGATGGACGGCTACATCCTGAGCCTGGTCCAGAAGAAAACACACCCTGTAAGGACCAACCAGCCACGAACCAGTGTGAGTGCTGACCCCACGAAAGGGCTCCTGAGGAACGGGAGCATCTGTGTCCGAGTGACTGCAGTGGCTGGTGGCGTGGCCCAGGGCAGCAGCGCCAACCTGAAGACTTCTAAGCAGGCGTGCTTGCCGCCGGGTGGGATGCCCTCCTTCGACAGCGGGCTCTTCTCCCCACTGAAGCAGTGGTCCAAAGACTCGAAAGTGGACCAGCCGGACAGTAAGCGGTTGCCCCCGCCACCGGAGGGCTGCGCGCCAGGGGCTGCCCCTGACTTTCCCAGCAAGCAGCCGCCCAAACCCATCAGAGCAGCCCTGCCAGAGAACGCCGAGGAGTCCCCGAAAGACAGCGGTCCGGTGTCACCGGCCTCTCCCAAGGAGAGCCCGAGGAGAGTCCCCGCGCCACAGCCGCCCGACAGCAAAGCGGCCCCGACGCTGCGGAAGGCGCCGCCGAAGAGCGGCCTGCCGGCGGTCACGGAAGAGAGGCCCGCCCTGGACTTCAAAAGCGAGGGCTCTTCTTCCCAGAGCCTGGAGGAAGGACCCCTGGTCAGCGCCCAGCTCA